CCCAGCCAACATGGTGAAACCCTGTGTCTACTAAAAATAGAAAAATTAGCTGGGCGTGGCGGTGTGTGTCTGTAGTTCCAGCTACCTCCTGAGAGGCTGAGGCAGGAGTATAGCTGGAACCTGGCAGGTGGAGGTTGCCGTGACCTGAGATCTCGCTCGAGTGCTTCAGCTTGGGTGAAAGAGTAAGAATTTGTCTCAAAAAAAAAAAACTCCAGAGAGACATCAAACAAACATTAATAAGTCATGAGACAAGTAAAATTTTCATTCCAGTGAGCAGGTTTTGAGTGATTATAGATGTTTTACCTGATGGGTGAGCAGGAGGGAAGGAGTGAGTGCAAAGTAAGAGATTATTGATACGTGGAGAAAGGAAAACTCGAAGCCGGATGTAGATGACCGATGATGAGGTTGCCTTTTGCCTTGAAGCCATTTGGGTTTTTCTGAGTCGTTTAGTGAAGACAGTCTCACCTAACACCTTCCAGTTGGGGGTCAATCAAATGGGAAGGATCTGATTAGAAAAGGAAAGAACACATCTGAAACTCATTTTCTCTAGTTTGTCATGTCAGGTAATAAAACCTGGAAACTACTTTTTCAAAGATATGTTGTAATTCTATGAAAAGGCAAGAAACAACTACACTTTGAAAATACAACGTAATTATTCTACAGAGGCATCCCTTCCCATCACTACAGGGTAACTATAATCCCTAGTTGATTTACTGCAGTCCTGATTCTAGCTTAATTCCTAGGAGACACAAAATTCTCAGAATGTCAGGTGTCTGCCCTGTCCCTGGGACCACTCTCCCACTGCATCCAGGAGCCTGCCTGTGGCTTTCCCCATCAAACGGCTTTTCCCTGCCTTTATCCCACAGCTGCCACTGGAGCGAGCACAAGTCATGTCCAGGACCTGCTACCTGGAACCACAGTTCTGTCTTTCTTTGGCCTGTAAGCATTTAGGTGGGGCAGGAAGAGTAAAGACAAGCAACTATAGGTGCTTTATCCCATATTTGCTGTGACAAGCAACAAGTGATCATTGAGAGTCTTTCTATGGGAGGGTTTGTCTATAGTTTTCTTCCACAGCACATTGCTGAGTTCACTCTTCTAGACTTGTGTGCCACATTTGGTGCCTTAAGAAAGTGGCCGGCCGGGCACAGTGGCTCACGTCTGTAACCCCAGTACTTTGGGAGGCTGAGGCAGGCGGATCACCTGAGGTCAGAAATTTGAGACCAGCCTGACCAACATGGAGAAACCCCGTGTGTACTAAAAATACAAAATTAGCTGGGCGTGGTAGCGCATGCCTGTAATCCTAGCTACTCGGGAGGCTGAGGCAGGAGAATTGCTTGAACCCAGGAGGTGGAGGCTGCAGTGAAATGGGGCAACAAGAATGAAAAAGAAAGAAACGAAGAAACATAAGAAAGAGAGGGAGGGACAGAGGGAAGAAAGAAAAGCAAGGAAGGAAGGAAGGAGAAAATGGTCTGGGTTAGTGTGTACCTTTTATTTTATTTTATTTGTTTTAAGGGAGAGGGTCCTGCTTGCTTTTGCCCAGGCTGGAGAGCAACGGTTCTATCACAGCTCACTGCAGCCTCAAACTCCTGAGCTCAAGCAAGCCTCTCGCCTTGGCTCCCCAAAGCACTGGGATTACAGGCACGAGCCACTGAACTCAGCCAGATGCACCCTTTTAAGTCTACCATGTAAATAAAATATCTCTTACATGACTTTACCTTTATGGTCTGGGAGGAGTTCCTAGCTGCAGAGGAATTAAATAAGGCGAGGCCATGGCCAGGCCAGAACTTTTCCTCCACTTCTGATTACCTGTGAGATCCTGAGTATCTCTGCCTGTGATCTGTTTCCTGTCCTGTCTGTTCTGCCGTGCTTCTTACCTGTCTGTTCTCCTTGCTTGCTCTCCACCCGTCCTGTGGTCTGTGTCTCCTCCATGTCCTTCCATCCCTTGTCCCTTCTCTGTCAGGTTCCCTCCTCACCCTGAACCCCAACCCAGCACCTGGGGTCCGCCATCGCCTCGCCTGCTCTCTTCCTTTTCTGAAATGTTGGGCTTCTTTGCTTTCTGTGATGCTTTCATGCCGTCATGTCGGCTTCTGTTGCTGTACCCAAACTCAGTCTGTAACTGTGTATTTCAAATGCCCTTTGAAGGAACGCAAACAAATAAATCGGCTCAACAGCAGTGCAAAGACAATGGCAAGGGTGACATGCCAGAAAGACTGAATACAATAATGAAGCATTGCAACTAGGTCCTGGAAATTTGCAAGCAGGCCACTTAATATTTGTAGCGGAAGGGCTTGCACTACATTGCACTCCATCCTGGGCAAGAGCAGGCAGGACCCTCTCCCTTAAAAAAATAAAATAAAACCAATATATACACTAAGCATGGGTCTAGGCACCGGGGCAAGTGCGCGGGACAAAGCAGACAGCAATCCCCTGTGTAAAGATTGCCGGTGCCCCCATTTAATGCCTGTGAGTAGAAAGGAGCTGTTCCTTAACTTCTGGAAGTAGAGAAGGGACGTGAAAAGGGCAACAGTCGTGTATGTGAATATGACAAGGTTATCTTATAGGTTATCGACATAGAAGGAAGAATTTTTTTTTTTTTTTTTTTTTATGGAGTCTCACTGTTGCCTAAGCTGGAGAGCAATGGTGTGATCTTGGCTCATTGCAACCTCTGCCTCCCGGGTTGAAGCAGTTCTCTGCCTCAGCCTCCTGAGTAGCTGGGATTGCAGGTGGCTACAAAATTAGCCACCAGGCCCAGCTAACTTTTTGTATTTTAGTAGAGATGAGGTCTTACTATGTTGCTCAGGCTGCTCTTGAACTCCTGGGCTCAAGCTATCTTCCCAACTCTGCCTCCGGAAGTGCTGGAATTATAGGTGTAAGCCCCATACCTGGCCTATCCTTTAAAAAAATTTTTGAATATTGCTTTCAACTTCTTAAAAACTGAACTGTACTACTTGGAATGTTTCTGAATATTGCCTATGTTAAAATGTTAACTTTTTCATTTAAGAAACAATTCGTGTTTTAATTATGTCTTTAATTTTTTAACTTATATTTTCCTTGATCTGGTATTAATTCATTGTGGTGAGAAAAAAATAACAAGAAAGACTATAAAATCCGTAAGAACCTGTAGGCAAAATACTCGTCTAAGTTTAATGTTTCTTAAGTACAGCTGATAAAATAATAGCTGATCTCTCGCCCTGCCTAGCATGGTTTGGCAAAAGGAGCCTTCTGCCCTGAGAGCTGGTTGGAAATGAGGCTCCAGTCCTCCCCAGGGCCCCTGCATCAGGACCTGCATGAGAACACGCGAGCTTCCTCCCCGGTGGCATGCTGCGGGACCTGTGGGTCGTAGTCATCATCGCACCTTTTTGTTTCTGGTTTTTTAGCAGCCGTGAAAAAGTACCTGGCGTTGTGCCTGACCTTTTTTTTTTTTTTTTTTTTTAAAAACAGGCATGAGCCCATTAATCCCCAGGACAATCCTCTAAAGCAGGTGTTATTAGAGGCTCAGAAAAGTTGTCACTGGGCCTGCCAAAGTTGTCACTAAGTGATGCTTTCTGGAGTCTGCTTGTCCTAAGCCTGAGATGGGAAAATTGAGGTGCAGCTCCAGCTTGCACACCCTGTGCTTCTTGGCCAGCTGGGCGCCTTGGGAGCACTGCAGAGGCTGCGTTAGCCCTGGCAGCTTTGTCCCCAGCCTCTGACCACTCGTGTGCACTTACAGCCTGGTATGAAGGCCCCAGGACAAGGTCAACTGTGACAAACCCTTAACAATAGGAGGCTGCACATCTCATCTGTAAGCAGGGCTTCCAAAAGCACTGATGAGAAAAGAAGTTCAGAGGCCTAGACATACATACTTCTCAGGGGTCGCCTACATCCACATAGGCTGTGTGTGTATAACTTCCATTTTTTTGTTTTCATTTCTGAGACAGAGTCTTGCTCTGTTGCCCAGGCTGGAGTGCAGTGGCACAATCTCTGCTCACCAAATCCTCCACCTCCTGGGTTCAAGTGATTCTCCTGCCTCAGCCTCCCTAGCTGGGATTACAGGTTCGCGACACCACGCCCGGCTAATTTTTTGTATTTTTAGTTGATACGGGGTTCCACCATGTTGGCCAGGCTGGTCTCGAACTCCTGACCTCGTGATCTGCCTGCCACGGCCTCCCAAAGTGCTGGGATTACAGGCGTGAGCCATCTTGCCCAGTCAACTTCCATGTTTTTAAAGGAAATCATTTGAAAGAATAGATATTTATTAGAAACCAGTTTTGATCTGTTTCTGACACCTTTATGACATATTGTTTTCTTGGATTCTACCTGACAGGAGAAATAAAGTCGATGCTAAGCATCGATCTTCAGTCATTAAATAATATTTCTGTTTTCTTGCATAATTTCCTCTTGTGTTCTTAGATAAGAATAAGCCTGTTTTTGTCACACTTTTTGCATATCTGAAAATGACACCTTGTTTGCAAGTGATAAACTCACAGCTTGGAAAATGATAGGATCCCAAGTTTCCCCAGAAATGTGAGGTGCAATCAACCAGGCTGGGGAAAAAAAATTACAAAGGTTACAATTACATTTATATAAAAATACACCACTTAGCAAAAGAAATTCTGATAAATAAAGCAGAGTTAGTGAAACGATTAGGATCAATTTATGTACATTCATCTACCTACTTTGCATTTGGATTGAAGTCCTAGATTGGGTCTTAAAAGTAAGGAACATTCTAGAACCTGCCAACCCTTTCTGATACAGTCACAAGATTTTTTTCCCCTTAATTCTTTTAAAATCAGGGTCACATTTCAACTCCCTGCCCACTGCCATTTGATGATATTTGTGTTTCTCTTTAGGTATCATCCTATTTTCTTTTCCTTAACCGCTGACACTGGCTTATTTCATATGAATGCATAATATATTAAATACATATGCATTTAAAATATTGTTTTGATTTGTTTGTGAATTGTTTCTCTAAAAGGGTCTATCTGGGGAAGTGAGTAATTTTTCATATCCTGTTCTTGCAGGAAGAATTTTAAATCGTTTCTCCAAAGACATTGGACACTTGGATGATTTGCTGCCGCTGACATTTTTAGATTTTATCCAGGTAACGTTGAGAGTAATGTCAGGTTCTCAAATGGAAACCCGAAGTTCCTATTTTTTCAAGCCCCTTTCATGGGGGGTGGGGGTGGGGCGCTCGGCCTGGCTATGTGTAATGTTAACTTAATAAAAGGCAATGTTTGTAAAAGAAAGGCGCGGTTATAATTCAGAGGCTAAGTTGGCGTGAGTAATACCTCGTGTGTGGGAGTGGCTATATAGTCGTGTCAGGGTTAGTCTGAAGTAGCTTCATGCTTGGTAAGTGGCTCTCTATCTGCCTCTAGGTATCTGGCGTGGATTTCGCTTTACTGTGAACACATTTCATAATATAGAAACAATCACCTCTCACGGAAAGATAGCCTAGATTAACTAAATTATGCATTGTATTACCACAAAGGGCAAATACTTAGAGCACTTTTTTTTTTTATGAAACCAGGTGTGGTTACTTACAAAGAAAAGATTAGTAATAATAAGGTGAAAATAATACTTTATTAGCAAGGACAATAGAGAGCAGTTATTGCAGATAGAAAGCCTTTACAGGCAAGGATATCTAAGCCAATTTGAGTACAAGATCAAAGTCAACTCAGAAAATGTCTTTTTTGTTTTCACACGTTGATTGCTCTAAGTCTTAAGCTGTCTTTGAAAAAAAAGCAACAATCCCACAGAAATACCTTCTGTAAAGCATTTCTTTTGTTTGTGAACTTGAGGCTCTAAAGAATAATGTTGGGTCATCTCATCTCTCATCTCCTTATTCAGTGCTGTTGCTCATGTGGTTTAGTTTTATTTTGTTTTTTCCTGTTGTTTAATGCTGTCTACTTGTCGGTGGTTCAAGCTGGGGTGCCTTTTTTTCCCAAGTATTTATTTTGGAAGTGCATCTATTAAAAGCTGTACATATTCCAAAATCTCAGCTGCTGTTGGTAACACTTTATGAAACTTGAACCTCTTTGACTTTTTATAAGTGAAAACTTAACAGTAGTTCTAGTCATTCACTGAATTTAAGGCCAGTAAATAGAAATACTACAGTTGGGGTCTGCAATTTTGGCTTGATCCTGTGGTCCCTCTAACCCCCCTTTTTTTCTCAATGCTCAGATGCTTCAGATCTTCTCTGGAGCCACTGTTATAAAAGGAACCAAAATTACTTAATTTGGAAAATTAGCTATGTCAGAAAAATCAGTCATAGGCTTGAAATTCTTACAGGAATTTCCTGTTCCTTACACAGCAAGGCAGCAAATGAACAAACAGCATAGCCCATGGGCAAATGCATCCACTGTTTACCGAGGTGAAGTAAGCTGAGACTCGCTGGTGGAGTATCAAACAAGGACCTCTGATTTTGTTTCTTTTGCAAACTTATTTTTAAAATGTGCCCTGCTGGGTTTAGCTATATTATTTCTCCCCCAGAAGCAGTCACTAAAACAGTTGCACAGTTTTCATAGAATGCAGATGACTGTTCATACACGTTCTGACAGTGATTGTTAATTACTTCGAGAATATTTTGTGAAAGGTTCTATTTCTTTGCAACTGCAAGCTAGGCAAAGAGTTTCCGAAGCTGGCTGGCCCACTATGTGCTTAGCAGAGTGAGCCATCATAATTAGAATCCCTCACGTGTTTTGCCTCACATATGGAGGGAGAGGGATGGATGCTACTTGATGTCAATATAAAACATTTCTTAGCAGCGTGAGGAGGGAAAATTCTAGTCTCATTGTACTTCTGTTTAACCGGAGAGACAAGGGCGTCTTTTATCATCCACTCACATCATCTTGGTAAACTTAACGTTGTGGAATACTACTGGCCCCAATTAGCTGATTTCTTGAATCTACAGCAAAGGTTAAATCCTAATGTTATTGTCTCCAAGAAAGGAGTTTTATCTAAAGGATAACTCAGTTATCATTTATGATAAAGATCTGTTGTCACTTGTTTTGTTTGCAGGTGTCTTTAATAAGGCTTCCCATAATCCCTTCAGGAAGAAATATTTTCTCCTTTTAAAAATAGTATTAGCTAAATATAAAAGCTCTGATCCCTGCCATTGTTGTTGATTCTCTGAGGGACATTTCCCAACATTCATTGTTTAAATGGTTGTCAGGAGGAATCAAGTGAAACGTGGTAAACAATGCAGTAACTGGTTCATCTTACTTTGTGTGCGGAGCCTTTCTCTCGGGGATTTGCATTCGATGAGTGGGCTTTTGACTGAGGTATCGCCAGGATCATTTTGAAGTATTTGGGCCTGTTGCTATATTAGGAAGTGAAAATTTTTATTAAAGCCACACACCGAAAAAAAAAAAAAAAAGAAAGAAAAGCATTTGACCGGCCCTCAAATAAAGGCCAACAAAAATCTAAATGATGTAAATTGATTTTTTTTTTAAGTTGCCTAGGCCTCTGTAAGGATGAAAACAAGCCAGCGGTGTTCTGGGACTCTTAATGGAATCATGTAAACTTAAAATAAACACTATTATGGTAAGCACATAAAATGAAAACTAATTTTCCAAATCAAATACATTATATTCAATTCATTTTCCCCAATCAACCAAATGTTTAAAACCTGTTAGTTATAACAGCAATCTTCTGGAAATTAATTAGAAGCCTATTAGCTCTGCTAGCTGAGCCGAATGAAGGGGGTTGCTTGGTACATTCCTAAGTAGTCTCCTGAATTAAAGCAAAGCAAGGTCAAAGTGACAGTTAGCTTTGTTCACCTCAAGGCTTTGCTTACAGTCGTTGATCTTTTCGGTGGGGGGAAGGAGGGAGGTCTTTTGTTTTTCGAAGGAAATTTTGTCTACTTTGATTCAGTTCTATGATACATTTAAAAAATGTATTTCTAGTACCAGTCTGGTGCAGTATACAGGAAGCATGATGTTATCTGTGCTGTCTCCATGGCACGGGCATCTGAAATGGAACTGACTTTCAGGCCTCTTGTCTAGCACATCACTTCTTCTACAGGGTTTATTTAGCCCCTTTCAAAATTCAGATTGTAGGAAATTTCCTGGGTTACTTTGTGTTTAACGTCATTAGCAAAACATGCTGCTGACATCGGACCCCTGGGTTTTTATGGTTCTCACCAGATTCTATGGGTAATAATCACAGTGACTAGCAGGTCCTCCTAAGCCCAGAGAAACTCACAAAAAGTGGGGCCTTCTCAACCCAGCAGCTGAGATTGACTGAAACAATTGAGTTTAAAAAGACTGGGAATTTCTTTACCATGATGTTACCCTTGGTGTTATCTAGCTGACTGATTTACAAGGCAACTAAGTATCATCAGTACCAACTACAGATGGTATTCTTGAGCCAGAAAGAGCTTTGGCAGGATGTAGAGTAACAAATAGAATGAAGATCAAAATCCACAGAAAAGTTAGGTATCTTCATGAAGAGGGAGTTGAAACTTAGCACTTATCACAAGGTTCAGACTAACACTGCTGAGCTGGTATTCTTACTAAAGCTGAGATTTAAAATCACATAGCTGTAGAAATAAATAATGTAGTTGCATTTATCCATGTGACTTTTTTTTTTTTTTTTTTTTTTTTTTTTTTTTTTTTTTTGAGACGGTCTGCCCCTGTTACCCAGGCTGGAGAGCAATGGTGCCATCTCAGCTCACTGCAACCTTCATCTCCCAAGTTCAAACGATTCTCATGCTTCAGCCTCCAAAGTAACTGGGATTACAGATGACCACCACCACTCCTGGCTAATTTTTGTATTTTATTAGAGACAGCGTTTTGCTATGTTGCTCAGGCTGGTCTCGAACTCCAAACCTCAGGTGATCCACCCACCTCAGCCTCCCAAATGCCCAGCCTCATGTAACCTTTTTAATCCAGGGCACTCATGTTTGATTATGTTTTCTGTATGATGGTGATCGTTTTATGGGTTTTGTAAGTAGGAGGCTGGAACTATGGACCATTGGGTCAGAACTGAACTGTTTCCAGTTGAGTTTGCCGAAGACTGGGGGGGTGGGTAAATCTGAGAGTAGAGCCCTCTGCTTGTGGCTTGATGTCTAGAATGCAGGCTCTGTAGAAGCAAGTTTGAAACCATGCACAGATTTTATTACTCCCCTGATGAAATTGCTTTGATAAGGAAATTCTGGTTTGCATGTGACTAGATTTGCTGGCTAGCTAGAGGCAATTAACCTAACTTTGATTTTGGGACTTCAACAAAAGATTTGTATTTGAGTTTTCATTTGTTTTTTTTATAGTTAGCTATTGGCATTCATTGCAAATGGGGAACAGTGACACCAATCGTTTAAAAGTGGGTTTCATTTGCTGTCCTTTATTAAGGGAAGAAACCCAGAGGGACAGCAAGGGTAATGTGTCTCTGGGACTTTGGAACTCAAAGTGGCTCAGGTGTACAACAGTAGTGAATAAAGCAAGATAAGATTTTTGATTAGGGCTTTTGGAAGGAAAGTCAGAAGTAAGGGAAGTCTTTGAATATATTGTAAGATAGAAATATATCACTAGAAATAAACAACTTAAAGAATAGAAATGAACAGTCTGCAAGTTACCTCAGGGTTGCCATGGGCTAATCAGATAATTTGGCCAAGGCTGGCAGTGCACATCTGGCTTATAAAGGGTTGTTCAAACATGTTTTTCTTGTTTGCTTTTTCAAAAATGGTAACAGCTTTGAACATCTACAATATTTCTACAGCCAAGTCATTTATGAACATAGAATGGCTCTTCACAGGTTAACGCTGAATATCTTGTTTTCAAAAAGAATTGAAATACAACTAGCATAAAGATCTTCATCTAGAACTCATGTTCTTTGAATAGGAATTTGGCATTTAAAACATAGTATATTTGCATAAGCCAACAAACAAAAACATAGAGGTGATAGTTAACATTCACATTTTAAAGTGCTTGATTACTTTCTTTTTTTTTTTTTTTTCTGTTTTTTCTTTTGAGATGGTCTCACTCTGTCACCCAGGCTGGAGTGCAGTGGTGCAATCTCAGCTCACTGCAGCCTCCACCTCCTGGGTTGAAGCAATTCTCACACCTCAGCCTCTCCAGTAGCTAGGACTACAGGTGTGCACCACCA